ATCATATACATGTATATGTTTGTATGTATGTGTGCTATTTATTTATATATATATATTTATGTATATATATATGTATATATAGATATATATATATATGTGTGTGTGTGTGTGTGTGTGTATTTATATATGCATATATAATGATTATGATATATTGACTTGAAAATTGTATTATGATAGGATCAAAACCGCACTTTCCACGAGACATTTAGCCCTTAACATCCTGGTAACAACTTCCTGAATTTTAATTTATTATTGGTGTTAGTTTGGTGGGAGTATGAAGAGCGCTACCATCGCAACACAACTAGCAAACCGCTGCTGCCAGATTTCAGCTACAGGTAAGTAGCCTTTTCCGGACCCCTCAATGTGTGCGATTGCTGATTATATGCCACTCCTTGGTTGGCAGCAGTAAGTAGCTTACCATTGATCCTCAATCTTAAATAACCGTTATCGAGTATCGTACGCGTGGACTGTGTGTTTATTATTCCTGCCATATTCTGAATATCTGCTCTTCTCACGATGACGCGAAAATCTTCAGTTTCTGCATCCGCTGCTCTTGAGAAGCTGTACGAATAAGGATGAATTGGCAGTCATGCTTGTTGGCCCAACATGTATATTCCTCTTTGATTCCTACCTCGCTCAAGGCAATTGCCAAGCAGCTCGTGACACTGTTAAACCTCTACAATACGCGAAACTACGCGATTGTAAAAAATAGTCGTGTTCTGACCTTCTCTTAATTCCTATATCATGGGTAGCGGCTATCGACTACAAGCGGAGCTTCTGCCCCCTCGAGCAGTAGATGGAGCAAGTGGCACGGCGAACAGAACAGAAGATGGTGTGTAAGCATGTCTAATTCTGTCAACGGTTAAAGAAAAAGGTTCTATTCTTCGCTAAGGTTCACTATGAATATATCCTTGAGCGGGACTCAGTGTGGCCTTGCGTGTACCTTTCATTTAGACGACGAGCGAGAGGCTACTGTGTCGTATTATGCGCGGATGGCGCAAATGTCACCATGGTCATGAGTTATTGAATGATATTAGAGTGATCCTTTTACAATCTCGCTGCTATCGTTAAGATCCCATGAGCGGATTATGTTTTTAGATAATGGCTGTCAACAAATGCAATGGGCAAGATGTCAACACTGTCGTCGACGCCACGAACAGAAAGTGATATACTGGTTCAGTTAGTACTCATGGAGATGAATCTATAGGCCTGCACTGTACAAACTCTCACCGACTCGTAAAATATTGCTAATGCTTCGAAAATCTTCCAGTTTTTAATGTCGTTGATTTTGGTGCGGTGGGGGACGGTATTAAATACTGTGCGAAGGCAGTCAACAAAGCGATCCGAGCTGCGAAGAAGAATGGTGGAGGGGTGGTTTATTTCCCACCCGGGCGCTACAGATTTGGGCAGCAAGGCAACACAGAGAGTGAACTCCAGGTGAATATAAGGTTTTGCTTGAGTTGTGTACAATGTGCACCTGCGTTTTTTATGCTCTTCAAGTATTTTTATATACGTGACATGGTTGAAATGCGCTTACTTGCTGAATTTTCAGTAGAATGTAGCGTTGGCAGGCATTGAGTGAAGTATTTGGTCGAGATTGTATCAGTTTAAAATGCTCGTATATTCCGTAAAGTTTTGTGGTTGTCACCAGGGAATATACCGTTGCTCAAGTCTATCGGCCATCTAATTTTGCACAGATCACCTCCAGTAATATCACACTACGGGGGGCCGGCAACAGTGCCTCTGCAGAAACATCCAGCATATTGTATCTTGACCACTATATCCCTGGGAATAAGTTTCTTTTGTATGGTCATGGACACCATCATCCCGGGCCAGTCGAAGAAGCCGCCGGTGTGCACGTGGTTGCCAGTGTACCTGGTAAGATCTATCTTAGTAAGGATAATTTGCATTGGTAGATGTTAGGATTAGAACATTAAAATAGGCTTGGGTGGGTCTTTCGTTTGGGACATGGGTTGTAAGTGGGCACCGCATGGTACGAGGTGTCAGGTGTGTGTGGCACTGGTCAAAATCAAAAAAAAATAAAGATAGGCACAGACATGCCTAGTTTTGAAGCTTGTCATCAACTAATTTAGAAATGCATCACTTGGCATGAGAAAGTGTCTATCACATGTACAATCGCTAATGATGAATGAACCACTTGCAGCTGAGGCTATTAAATTACATGTTAGCGATGTGTCCGACTACTCTGCGGGGGATTGTTTTCGTCTCCATGGCAACAGCAAAGCGTGGTTGACTCCGTGGTTTGGGGATATACCACTCGACCCCAAATGGGAAGATCTCAGCAAGCAGGGCATCACATTTGATCAGCCACATTGTGTAGCACATGTAAACCACGAAGCTAGCGTTTTGACCCTGAACAGCCCGATTCACACAGAAATTGTTATTAAGAAAGGTAGGCGTATGTTTGGGTACTCGATGTTTATCTGAAATGCATTTGCTTGGCCAGTTGTGTAGATACACAACCTTCCAGCGCATTAAGTTTAGATACAACCTTCCAGCGCATTAAGTTTAAATACAACCTTCCAGCGCATTAAGTTTAGATATTGTATTCTGCAACATGGTGAAGCAAGTGATATTTATAAAAAATGTCCGTTCAAGAATTAGACAGTAGTTGACTCGTCAGACAGATGTGTGCTTCCCGGCACACGTGGCATTCATGTGAGGTACCAGATAGATGCTTTATTTTCTTTGTTCTTGTGAGGTTCCAGCTAGGTGCTTTGTTTTAGTTCCTGTCTACGTCCTAGTGATGTACCAGCTAGATGCTTTATTTTGGTTCCTGTCTACGTTCATGTGAGATACCAGCTAGGTAATTTATTTTCTGTCGTGTCTTATGTTCTTGTGAGGTACCAGCTAGGTGCTTTATTTTTTTCCTGTATGTGCTCTTGTGAGGTACCATCTATATGCTTCATTTTATTCCTGTCTATGTTCTTGTGAGGTACCAGCTAGGTAATTTATTTTCTTTCGTGTCTTATGTTCTTGTGAGGTACTAGCTAGATGTTTTATTTTAGTTCCTGTCTGCGTTCTTGTGAGGTGCCAGTTTGATATCCCAGCATGGCTAACAATGGTGTTCTATGATGGCGTTTGTAGTCACTAATCATGTTGCTTCCGGAGTGCCAGGTCTTGTTTTTAGAGGCCATCCCTGATTAGTTTCTCATGTATTCCAAAACTGTGGTTAGCTTTATCGTCTAAGGTTTTTGGCTTCAGAAAACTTCATGTCCAGAACATTTTTTTCTCGATCTTATAGTTTTGTGGTCGTCTCGACTTTTACAGACCAAACATCACTGAAACTGTTACGAATTCAAATGCTCTCTGATATCGGAATCGAGATGCTGCGGTTTGAGAGCGGTTGGAAAAAGGAGAAGAAGGTATGTAGCATGAGGTATCTGTCCTTCCGATTTGTGGCAAGAAAACAAGTAGCGGACATAGAACTATTTCATTCTGTTTGGAGTGGTTGGATCAGAGTGTCTGTAGCAGTATTATATTCGATAGAGGGTTGCCCATCCGATCAAAATACATAACTCTATAGAGTATCAGATTTAGCAAGGCGTGGCGAAATTGTTTTGCTTCAGGCCTTGATCTTAAATCGATGCTAATTCGAATCCATTAATGTGGAAATTTCCGAAACTCATCGTCAATTCGATAAAAATATCGATTGGGATATTGGTCTTAGCTCGACATCATTCGGCTATGACTTGCACTATGGTGGTGGCCTTCACTAGAATCCTGAACGTGACATACGCACACATATTTCCTCCCTATCAGTGATACATATACAGGGCAAATCGGGCGGATGCTAAGCGAGCAACGTATTTTTCTGTAGTGAATGTTCTCATCCGGGCTCTTACTTGATTAAAGGACGTTAAAGCGGGACGTGGAATGTAGATCACAGGTAGAGAGACGGCTAGACCAGTACCAGTGTGGTATACATGCCGATGGCAATGTCTGTGGTGTTCTCTCTGTACGAAAACGATTGTGTTATTAAATGCATGGTATCCGATCATATTTTTCTTCAGCCCCTATGCCACCTCTGTGATGACAAGAATACCCTTGGATGGCAAGCTATTCTGCTAACGCTGGTGAAAGACTCTTATATCCGAGATTGTGTCTTTGACTCGTGGATTGGAAGCGTCAAATTGGAAATGTCAAGGGCGAATACGGTTTCACATAATGCGGTCGTAGGTAAGTGGTCACTGTGGAAGTGTGGTCCGGGCTTAGCTACCCGGCTCTATATCCCATGTTTTGGCCTGGTATGCTTCTATACAGCTCGGTATGGTTTGTTTTAGCGTGATGGAAGTTATTATAGTCTGGAATAACCTACTCTGTATCGTGCGATGTGCTATAGCTTTGTGTTTTGAATTCATTTTAAATATAATATGACAGTCTGCAATGATGGGAATGATCTGGATAGTTGAGATCGTATGGCATGATTTAGCAAGCTTGCAGGGAAAGGTTGTGTATCAGTTACGAACCGGTTCGGTTCGAAGTGGGTATTTTCGAACTGGGTCTCCACTGCCCTAGTGGGTTTTGACACGTGCGCATGGCTTGAGTTGCTTATTTGGCCGAGTGTGGTTTAGTACAACTCAGCTCGGTTCGCTCGCATGCGGCTAGAGTTTATACTCTAGTGTGTAGTTGCGGCTGAATGTGGGTCAGCATATCCGCTGTGAGCAATATGTTTTACTAATTTTGTATCTTGAAGCATAGGGTGCAGTATTTGGTCCTGAACTGTAATTTTTAAGTTATGTATGTGTACTCAGGCATGAAACTCTATTGTACTATACAAGCTATTAATTGCTCTTCTTGGTTTATGTATGCCGAGGTTCTTGTTTTTGTACAGTTTTCCGCACTCCAGAAGCGTTGGATTGCTCACATCAACCTGCAAATGTGCACTCAAAACTCAGGAGATATTGAATCAAATTGGCATTAAGACATCTGACCATTCACGCCTTGCTTTATTTTCACACAGGCAAACCAGGACATCACTGCTATCGGACGCTGCGCTCGTATGGAAATCTATTTTTAGAAAATTCCGACACAGCAGGCACTTGGCACGGACCCAGTTTCGAAATGTTCGACAGCGGGAGTGTATTTCTCAGACATAAACTTGCACGAGGCCAAGCAGTAGACGCGCATGGCAATTTACCGACACACACGCTTGTGGATGGTGCTTCTGGGGTAAGCCCTCGAGTTTCTAATTGACAGTTGGTGTTCGTGTCGTTATTGGGTGGCGGCTGTGGAATGCATTTAAATACTTAAACGAACTTTATGTTTACAAATACTTTCGTTGTGAAACAGTCATGCCTGTGTTATAAATTACTGCTCATCACATTGCGAATTCATCCGGCCCATACTATGTTGAAAAAGAAGATAGCCATTCATGCATTGTACATTTTTACTCATTCACATTGACCGAAACACCACCGCTCAAACTATGTGGGGCAAATGTGTGTGCCTTTGATTCGCTTAGCAACGCTCATTAATGCATCCATACCGAGCCCCTGCTTGGATTTGGGCGACTTTGAGACCAGCATGAGCTGAAGTTACGAATAGCTGTTCATTTGATTTCTATTGTCTCTATAATTACTTTTGAACCCATCGATACAGGGGGTGCTATACGGTGCTGGAGGAAATGAGATGGCATTTCCAAACCATGCCGAGAAGTTGACGATCTGGAACTTTGAACATAGAGCTGTGGATGTGCGTGGCAAGAAGTACCTACTCTCATGTGAACGCTTGTTTTATTTCTTTGATATCCCCTATCTTGTTGTTTATGAGTTCACGTCTGGTGTCATCAACTCATAGCATGGATTCTTTCGACTCAGTTTGATTACAAACATCCTGCAAACATATTGATTGGAAAGAGATTGTGTGCAGGTGTGCCTGAAAACGCCGACTTGTCGAAACTACAAGCTAATGGGTTTTAATAATTTCCTCCTTGTCAGATACCGTTACAGATTCTGGCCAATTGACTTAGAGAATCCATATCGGTTTAGTAGCGTTTTTCACAAACCCATCATTGTTGGTCTGAAAGGTGATCGCGAAATAGAGGTGAGTCTCAGTGTGTGTATGGCATGATCACCTGTAGTTGAGCACAAGGTGTGGAATGGGATATATTTTGTTTCATTGTTGGGTTTTTGTTGTCAGCAGCTCTGTACTTGCCCGTCACGACCGTATAGCCTGGCAAAAAAAATAGCACGCCGAGCGACGGCTCCTCGTTTTCATGGATCGAAATGCGTCATCGCCGACACATGTGTAGTGTAAATTTTCTTGTTCCACGCGTAGTAGCACTCTGTAAATTAAAATGGCATGGTCGTGTACACCACTACCACCAGCTCTGTTTTTTTGCAAACATTGTCTTCTCAACGAAAGCTGCGATACGCATATGTACATCTCGATGTGTTGTATTTCAAGTAGATTGTCTTCGCAACATCTGCATCACATATTTTGACTTTCAGCACAATAGATGATGCCCATGGTGTTTCTTCTGATAAAACTGCGAATATTTTTTTCTGAATCTAGATTGACACCACCACAGTGCTGTATGGGGAAGGACTGCATATGCAGCGCCCATCACCTGCTTCACTGTTCGACGCCCAGCTGAAATTGAGATTGGCTGACTCGAGAAATAACAGTGTACCTATATATTTTACACCTTCGGACATGTTGCCAAAGGACCACAAATACAGCCCAACACGCGCTTTTGAGTACCGAATACAAACGGACTACCATCCGAAGGTGTGTTCAAGTCACCAAGTATTTTATTACTTTTTTATGCGTATATCGAATTTGGCTGTGGCCATGATATGTCCAAAGATTGAGTTTGGGTGAATAATATTGTTACACTCATACAGGTCTTGCATTGATACCAAAGGCGCATTACGATTCTCGACAGCTACAATAGACCTATATGTATTTGAGCACATGTCATGTGCGAAAGATAAGCTGGGATGTGTGCCTGCACAGTTCATTGATTTGTGCCAATCATATTGTTTTTATGACTTCAGCTACCTCTGCGTGTAAGTAGAGGTTAGCAACAATTTTGATTGTCGTTCCCAACACAAATTTCGATCTTCATTTACCCGTCATTCGTACGCACGTACAATCTATAGCCCATATAAGCGGATCGCCGCTTTCAGTATCCTCGCAGACCCGACTACTTATAAATGTATTGCATTGGCATGCAGGTGATCTATCACGACCATTTCAAATGGCTGCGGTACATGGTCTACTATTTATGTGCTGCATGTGTGGGCCTGTGTTGTCTGAAGACACTATGGTCATATTGCTGTCACACAAGATCTGAACAAGGTAAAGTAACTCACAGCGAAAGTTGTTGCACCTTCTGAAGGGGTCATATGTGTGGACTTACAATTATATGTACTTCCATGGTAGTTCTTAAATCGAATACTCGTTCCAATGGAGAGGTGCTTGCATACGGAGTTGGTCTAGTGCCTAAAATTATGGGCTGTAGTACTTTGCAAACGTACCTTCTCAGGTTACCTCGCGCTCCAGAGTGCAAGCAATATATGATTCTATTGCATACTGAGTATTTGCACCGGGTTGGGACCGTTGTGCGAGCCAACGGCCTTATCATGCTACAATTCTGATAACCATTCATAAATGGATGCACAAGTTTAAAATTTGAGAACCGCACGTAAGTTCCTATCATTTAGTGAGGAATACATCGTGCGCGGTCCGGTACTGACTTCTGGTTTCCCTATCGTTTACATACATCGTAGCAGGGGGTATAACTGGTTTCCAGCAAGTTCCAATGCAAGACTTCGGATTCTATGCATCCAGCAACGAGTTAGAGGCAACAAGAACATGAACCAGACATTTCTGTTGCATGCATGTTGTGTTTATTTCGCACACGCGAGAAGTTGGCACTTTTTGTACTGATATTCAATTTCCATTGCGAGAAGTTTATACAATGGGTATGCTCGATCCTGCGGATGTCCCGAATCATAGTGGTAGGCGTGTATAGTTTGGGCTGTGTACGAAACTGTGCGTGCAGCTCACACGCGATAGTTAGTCTCGATTATTCGACCCCAGTTTGCGTCAATTCCTTGATGACAAACATGTGAGGTTGAGTATGTTGCACTGTCGCTATCAATTTGCGCCGAGCTGTTTATGGTTCAATTCATCGCGCCCAAGTCTCTGGAGTGATCTGTTTATTTGAATACACAGTATGGGAGCAATAGAATAGCATAATAATAGTTGCTGAACCCGACCGTGAGCACGAAAGTTGTACGCCGAATGCGATCAGTCTCTAACAAGCATTGCAAAAATATTTATGCTCGGGCATGCGCACCGTTCAATCCTCGAAATTGGAGATTAATGCACTTTTAAAGTAAAATTCACACTCAAGGCACTAAAGTTGTCGACTTGTAGAATAACATCATATACTCTGAGTTACTTGCATCTTCTCATAGACTGATTTGCCGTCGAAGCTAAGACAAAAAGAAGTATGCTTTATAAGCGCTTCATCAATAATTATTGTTGATTCATGATTAGCTCAGCAAAGCAAATAAAGTGATAATCCGGTAGATGTTGTGGTATTCTAGCAGGACGCTTGCCTTGCTGTTCTATTCCAAAAGTAGGTCTATATTCGATATGCTAAAGTGATAGTATTTATGGGATCACAGAGATGCGTTATATGTTGCCTAAATTGTGTAGATAGACTAACAGTCGAGATCAATGTTTTTATTGCCTTGTATTGCGCAACTTAGGTAGGTGTGCGAGATTTCGATAACATGATAAACGATTGTGCTTCATCATGAATCCACTTGCCATTGTAGCTGGATATTTATATTTCTCTGGCTTTGTATTCAGATATTGATTGATATATTTTAGTAGATTTGACCGTGATCTTCTGCAACTAATCACACAATATGCTTAAAGCGTCGGATCACGCGATCTTGAGCGCCACTAACTACAATGGCTGCACTGCATTATCATCGTATCGGTAGTCTGTTTTAGTCGTCGATTTGAGCATCGACTACACACCTAGCTTCCTTGTCCTCCTCTGGTGTGAATATTCGCACGCTGGCTATACAACTGATTTTCGTTACAACCAGAATTCGCGGCGGAGTCATCACATTCTTGTTAGGTGATGCACGATACGTTGGAGTGTTCTGATCGAGTTTTTGAGCAATATTCGGTCTATATTGCTCTTTGCCGTTATTTGAAGAAACAGAGTTAGCCAGGATAGTACATGTGCTCAGTTCGCTATCTGAATCGAACAAGTTACTCCGGCTCTCGTCCCTTATTACCAAGAATCTTCGAAATCCCAACTCAGAAACTTTGCCTGCAGCGATATTCGGTCCGTTTGGCCTAGTGCATGTGTCACGTGTGTTCGCTCGATTGTGTCCCTTGCCAATTCCCATACTGAGTGGTAGAACATCTTCATCCTCACTTCCCATTTGATCGATACTGTCCTGTGAGCTCTGTAGTTCACGGCTCAGACTCTTCTGCAAGGTAATCGACGCCGCCGAAGCAAGAGTTGCGCTCCGGTGCCGCCCAACGTGTACTTTGTTCTTCGCTTGGTGCTGAAAGTGTTCAGCCGCCGCCACGTTCATAACCTGCTCGTACTGTTTTGACTTCTTGTCCTGTCTACTCTTCTCCCCACTACTGCCACATTTCTGTGTCTGCGATTTGTCGCTTTGGCCACTCTTTTTCCGCATGCGCATCATGCGACCGCCCACCTCCACAACACTGCTGGCGCGAATTCGTCTTGATGAGGATTTGCCAGTACTCCCACTGTCATCACACGATACTGTTGAATACGGCTTTTTAACATATTTTACTGGACACTCCTTTGGAACAGGTGAGCGCCAAGGTTGTGAATCTGTATTAGCCTGTTGCGGTGATGCAAATTCTGTCATTTCTAACAATGTAGCCGCGGATGCGGTGAGCGCTCGTCGTATAACCAGGCCCATGTTGATGGCTCCCTTCTTGTTGTGGGGTAGTGATTGGGTACTTCTGAGGGCATCGTCGTTTTGATTGTTACGCGTATCACATGGTGAATCAAATGACCTCGACACACAACCACTGACGCTGTTCCAGTTTGCCCCCGCTTTCATCTCGTTGAAATTGATGGGGAAAGACAAAGAAGATGCTGAGCACCCTTGTCTATCTCGTGCAAGGCTGCGCACTGGAAATTGATATATCGATCCGGGTGAGTCTATTATATTCTTGCCAACACCAGGCTCAAGTGCAGTTCTTGCCGATGACTTCATATTTGAAGATAGTCTTCCATCTGTATAAATAGAAGAGTTGCTGCTAGCGATACTGTTCACTTGGACAACTACTTCAGTCATGTAGCTGGGTACATCTGGATCTTCAGTGCTGTGACAATTTGAAGATTGTTGTGTCTGCGACTCTCGCTAACTTTGTAAATATTTTTGCAGCCGCGCAACAAACTGGCTACAATCGTTATCTGTGTTTTGCACCATAGAGTATAACAACTTCTTGATGATCTTTCTCGAAACTAAATCGAGAGGATCAGAGTAGCATCGACTGGATAAAACATGCAGCATTTGCGATATTTCTTGCGGCAATGGTCGCTCGTGTCCCTCTCTTATCTGTTCCATAAGTGTCGTGCGCACGTGACGGTGTACCATAATGTGGTCACGGAATTCAGACAGGCATAACGGTCTGATGTAGGGCACCAACAGCGACTGGCTTGTGCAAAATATGGAGCTAATGTCCTTGATCGTGCGAGAACAAAACCATGACCAAATGGCTTTCAACTCAGTCATAAACTCTATTCCGTGCAGATCTACGAGCTGTTGTCGCAACACTATCATTCCTTTCACCAGTGTACGATGCAAGTTCTCCAGTATACACGTGGCATCGTACCTTTGCTCAAGACTGACAACGCACTTGATAACGTCGTCTAGTTGATCACGTAAATCTGTGTTGTCACAAGTATCGAGCCTCCCCATGGTTTTGAGCTTGCGTCCAGAATCCAACATTTTGTTCCGACCACTAGATATAGATTTTTCTTCCGAGTTACCCATCATTCGGGAAGATTTTCTACCCAACCAGAGTTTGCTACCCAAAACACTACTTGAGCCAGAACCAACTTCGACACTCTCTGAGCTTGCAGACTTCGAGGGAGACTGTGAAGCAACAAAGAAGAGAGCGCTCTCACTACCACAGGTGGAACTGTTCAGGAATCTCGAATCGCATATTGGTGGTAGATTGTTAAAATCGTTCTGCGAGTTCCCAAAATCGTATTCTTCTACCTTTGATATTTCATCCGGTTTTGTATCCTGTCAACTGTTCTCGTTTGTACCAGCGATAGTGTCTACCAACGGCCTAACTTTCTTTTGGAGCAAGTCCAAGATGGCTTCATTCACACCTATCATTTTTGGGTCATGATTCAAGGTATGTTGGCTCGATAAGATCACTGCATCACACTGTGGGCTATTCAAAGATCGACTTGTCATCTTAGATGCCGTTCGCTGGATGGACCTCCGAAAGTTTGACCGTGTTTTACACGCTAATCCTGATTTGCTCTCGCTTAAAGATTTGTGATTAGTAGTAGTACTTGCAGGTAGTTCTACTTGCAAACTAGTAGTTATACTTGCAGGCAATCTTTCACTGTCAGACTATGACCCTGTAGCAAAATGCCGATCACTATAGTGTTTCCTATGGAGTTTCATGCTGTGCCGCAAACCAGCCTTGCTTTTGCTAGAGTGCCGAAATCTCTCACTGCTAGCACGATGCGCAGATTTTACCTCGCAAGGTATAGTAGCATTTTTATCTCTGCGTAAGTCTCCACGATTGCTACTTACCTGGCATGAGGTAACGCAATCAGTTCTAATGCCCACGGACGTATATGGGATACCGACAAAACTTGTACACAGGCGCCGCTTGTCGCTGACAATGGCATGCTATCGCTCACTTCGTGGCACAATGCGAACCCTGAAAATGACATTCCGGTATGATCGAGTGTGCTTTGTATACCACAACTAAAGTTACACTTAGTTCCGGCCGTATAGCGCTACTTTATTGTGCATTTAGGTCCATTACGTCCGCTTTATGTGGCATATGTGCAAATGCGGGCAACGTGAAATGTCTTAGTTGTATTTATGCATTGGTATTTAATCTATTGCTATTAGTTTCCGTGCCGAGGATATCTTCCAAGGCCTGTAGCTATAAAGCCAATCTACTTCAAGCAGACTGTTCTTACTTGGGAACGCTGCACTTCGTTATATACACTCAACAAACCATTTTAAGAGCACGACTAGTGAGTGGTTGCCGTGGTGAGAGTTGAGACAGTCTCTGTCTCATGAGAGTTTTTTGTTTTTTTTGTGGTTGTCGACTGACGACAGCCCTAGTCGTGCTCTCACATGCCAATCAGATCACTCTGATTATATTCAAAAAGTCGGAGCCGCGAAAAAATGTGAACCTGTTGCTCTATGACTCTCGTAAGATACTTTCTGCAGTTATTCTTCGTAATTTCTGACTTCACAGGTAAATAACACACCATGTGTAGCACCCCATAAATAGTGTGCATCAGCGCATGCTTCCATGGGACACGAATAGCCCAACTCTTTTATTTATATGTTTATTAATATTGTATATTCCTGTGAAACTCTGAATCCCTTACCCTTTCAGGCTCTGTATAAATAGTCCATTTCTTTTAAATTTTTTCCAGCTATCTGTGAAACTATACGTATAGTATATTTGTATATGTATACCGATATCTTTGTGTGTAAATGTATCTACGTTTTTATGTGTGTGTCATATATATATAAATATATATATATATGTATATATATCAATATAAATATACATATATATATATATATATGTGTGTGTGTGTGTGTGTGTGTGTGTGTGTGTG